CTGGTCCGTTTGTGTAATGTCCTTTCCTTCATTTCATCCAACAAACAGTGATGGAACCAGGCCGGGTGCTGGTGAAAGTGAGATGTTCAGCACTCTCAGCTCTCTGTCTCGGCAGTGGCCCTACATAAATGAGCATACATTCTTCACTGCAATAGTAGTGTGTATACTGGGCGCTATGAGGGGCTGAGGACTTCCTGAAAATTTAAGACTGAAGTGAGACTTATAGTTAGCTAAGTTAGACAAAGCTTAAGGAAGAGGATGTATCTGGCAGAGAGAAGAGCACAGGAAAGTGCAGAGCTGTGACTTTCAGTACTGGGGACAAGAAGTAATTTGGATATGGTCGAAGTGAAGGAACTAGCCCAGAAAGGTAAACAAGAGGTGGATCCGTGGGAGCATTGAGCCCTGAAATGAATGCAGTTCTACCTAATGGTAAAAGTTTGAAAACTGCAAAAGTACAGATTTTTTTAAAACTAAAATAAGATTAAAACATTTCCCCAGAAAATAACTTGTGCCGTTGCTCTTAAAGATGGTCTCTTATCAAGTCACAGTAAAATGTTGGTTGGCTTAAGCAAACAGTTTGTCAGTAAGTTCTTTAAAACTATCTGATCCCTATGTAGCATAGTAGTAATACTAAAATCTCGGATAATCCAATGTGGTTATCCTTAATTATTAAAAAAAAATCAAAATAGGAGATAAGGTAGTAAAAGTTGTAGTTCGAACTCTAATTGGTCTTAATAATAAAAACCCAGAGTCCGATATTAGGGGGTGAAAGCTGAGAGATCAGAGAAGCAGAGCAGCCAGCCACTGGAGAGACCTTTTACCTCTACCTCATCCTCAGACCAAAGGGGCAATCCTGTCCTCAGACTGCATCCTCGAACTGCAACTGTCTCCACCAAACCTCAGACTACCTCTGAGCTCCTGTCTCCTCCCACTTTATATTCCTCTTTCCACCCAGCCATGTCACTCCTATCTCTACCTCCCTAGTGCTGGGATTAAAGGCAAGGGATCCCAAGTGCCAGGATCCTCTTTGTGTGAGTTCTGTTTCTCTTTTAGACAGATTCAGGCTTGTGTAGCCCAGAGTGGCCTTGAACTATCAGAGTTCCATCTGCCTCTGTCTCCCAAATCCTGGGATTAAAGATGTGTGCCACCACTGCCCTAACGTTTAGTGGCTTAGCTCTGTACTCTGATTTTTAGGTAAGCTTTATGTGATAAAACACAAACCAAATATCACTACAGAAAGTTGTTTTCTATTGTCACGCAGTCACCATTGTGCTTGAGAGTGAGACAGCATTCTGTGTGCTTAACCAATATGAGCTCATCTTTATGACAGCCCTGTGAATAATGCTTCTGGTCTTTTGTGGACAGGAAATTAATTCTGGTTATTGTTTGCCCCCCAGTCACACAGAAAGCAGGTGTCAGAGTTAGAATTCTGACTCCCAAGACTCTGCCAGCAGTGTTTGCTGCCTTTGATTAAAGGATCTGCTCACAGAATTATTCTAGAGCAGATGTTTTGGGGCAGTCTTCGGGGAAGATGAGAACCCTGTATTGTATGTCACAGAGTGGCAGAGGGTTCCTGGCTTTCATCTGTTTATGAGGTCCAGGCAGTAACCAAATGGTTTAGCCTGCTGACCTCAAGGAGTATTTTATGGCTTCGCAGTACTGTCGGAATAGTGCTCTTGGGACAGATGTTTAGGAACTCACTCAGCCTCCTTCAAAAGCACTGCTGTATATTAGTGCTCTTTCTAGATGCTGTTTCCAGAGGAAGAGGCTGTCATTCTGTCATATAGAGCAGATCCCAATATCCGCTGTGAAAAGCCTGTCAAGATGGTTCTGAGAAAAGCCCTTGGTTAAGAATCACTATCCCCTGCAGAGATAACCATTGTATTTTCTCTATTTTTAGTTTTATGGCAAGTGCTTGGAATATAGTGAACACCCATAAATCTTTAAACTGATGCATTGTGAGATCTGGCTGCTTTATAGTCAAGGATGATGGTAATAATAGTCATTAGTGTTGACGAAGCCCTCCTGTGACCAGCCGACGCCGTCTCCCCAGTTCTCACTTGTATGCCCTTTCCAGAGCCAGGCACTGTCGTGACATCTCGAGGCCATAATTTGAAGAAAGACATTCCTTTTCTCTAATTCTTCTGCTGAGAATCAGGTGAATTCGAGCATAGCTCTCTTCCAGAAGCCACGGCTGCCTTATGTCTCTGGAAGTGGTGTTGCAGTGCACCCAAGGGCGCTTCACACCCTTTTCTGACATTTTGTTCCCTGCTTTAACCAGCAGGCTTGGTCTCTCTGAGAATCAGGCTGTGTGGTATAGGTCAGAAACTTTTATCCTTGGTAACTGGAAGGTTAGAAGCACAGCTTACCAAGAAAGTAATTGAAGGAATTCTGAGAGATCAGAGAGACTGTATCAAGGAGGCTTACCCTGGTAATGACGGAGGAGGGGGCGACGGTGCTCTGTAAGTCCAGAAAGATGGAGCTGCAGGTTTCAGAAAGGAGCTTCTTCTATCACATAGCCACAGTTTTGGTGAAGTTTGGGTGTATAGTTTAGGTAGAAAAGAGGGGAGGATAGATAGATCAGTGCCTCAATCAATACATATCAGAGAAGCAGTTTCTTGGTATAGATGGGAACTAACGCAGAGACCCACAACTTGACAGTGTGCAAAGAGTTAGATACTTCTTAGCACTCAGCCCTAAATGGGATGTCTCCATCAAATTCCTCCCCTCTTCCCCTCAAGGATCAGGGATTCATGAGGAAGAGGAGGCAGAAAGATTGTAAGATCCAAAGGTAATGGATGAATGCAAGGAAACAGTGTTCTCCAGACACACCAGGACTTATGCACATACGAACTCAGAGACTGTGGCAGCATGCACAGGACCTGCACAGGGTCAAGCCAGATAGGGTCCCAGCACTCGGGGAAATGGACATGGAGTCCATTCCTGACCAAGGGGTTATCTACAAAGGGAAATTAATTGTCTTCAGTTTAGTGTCTGTCATTTGGATAGACCAACCACACTCTAGGGCAGGCAGGCCCATTCCCAGGAATACTCAGAAGACATAGAACTCTGGTACTTTTGTGGGCTTTTTCTTTCATTTTGTTGTTTTGGGGGGGTTGTTTATTTGTTTGTTTTCGGGTTCTTTTTGTTTTGGGGAGTTTTTTTTTGTCTTATTGGTCTTTTGCCTGTTGTTTTGATTTTTGTTTTTCTGTTTCTTGGATTTTTGTTGTTTCATTTTTGTTTCTTGCTTGAGTTTTTTTAAAAAAAGAGAGAACAAAGTTGGGAGAAGGGGGAAAATACATTACGAAAACATTTTCATAAAAATATGGAAAAAAGGAGAGAATAACAGTGTTAGATAAGCACTTTTTCTTTACTTATTTGTTTATTTGATTTTGGTTTTTTGAGACAGGGTCTTTGTAGCTGACTTGAACTCATAGCAGTTCCTTCTATATTAACTTCCTGGGTGTGGGGATTATAGGCATGAGCTACCACATCCAGTTTCTTTTGCTTTTTAAGAGCAAAGTGAGAAAGAAATAGGCTTCGTTAATGATCACAGAACTTTGCCCAGAGGAACATACTCTGCAGTGCTGGGAACATAGGGAGGAAGTCGCTGGTGGCAGCAAGCTGTGGGAGGCAGTATCTTAGAGCAGCTCCTCTCTCTTGCCACCTCACATGCTCCAGAACCTGCTGCAGGCAGGAGTCAGCCTGTCCCCATGCCCACACTAGTCGAGTGCCCCAAATAAAAGTGTCTGCAGTAGCTTATTTAAAACAGCATGTGCACACAGGGTAAGACCACAGTCCAGAAGCTTGTATATAAAAAAAAAGAAAAGAGAGAGAGAGAGAGAGAGAGAGAGAGAGAGAGAGAGAGAGAGAGAGGAAAGAAAAGAAAAACCACTTCTTTGCTTAAAGGCTTGTCCTTATAACATTGAGGTTTACCAGCAGTTGAGCCCGATATACTTCTTCAGGACCTGAGAAATAGTCTTATCAAACCCAGCTCTTGGGAAAGTTACAAGGTGTTGTGGCCTTTAGTTTTTGAGGAGGAAAAAACATAATCAAGACTGAATTGAAAATCAGACAAGTTTGAGTTTGAATCCTGGTACAGTCTTTATGACCTGTCCCGGGTCATCCCTTTTCCTTTCTTTAGTTCCCTTATCTATTAAACAAGAAGGGAATGGTAGCTACTTTGTTTAGTTAGTTGTAAAGAATAGAAATGTCACCAAGGAAGAAGGCTCGAGGATGGTTTAATAAGAGAACTCAATCCATCTTCAGAACCTATATAGAAATTCAAGGTGTTGGAGTAGGTGCTTTGGCCAGGGCAGAGACAGGAGGGTCCCTGGGGCTTGCTGGCTGGCCGGCCTGCTCTGATTGGTGAACTCTAGGCCAATGGAAGAACCTGTGTCAAAGGAGGCAGATAGTGTTTTTGAGTATGATACCCAGAAGTTGCCCTCTGACCTCAGCACATTCATCAGCCCTGTACATGCACAAGCACTCAGAACTTTATTTTTTAAAGTTGAAAAGACACAACTGCAGAGATTATTCTTTGTCTAGAGCAGTGGTTCTCTACCTCCCTAAAGCTGCGGCCCTTTAATGCAGTTCCTCATGTTGTGATGACCCTCAGCCATAACATTATCTCATTGCTACTTCAAAACTGTAATTTTGCTACTGTCATGAGTCATAATGTAAATAGCTGATATACAAGCTATCTGATATGCAATCCCTGTGAAAGGGTCGTTCAGTCGCCAAAGGGGTTTTGACACACAGGTTGAGAACCTCTGGTCTAGAGGGTATCCCATAGATGGTCCTCCTAAAGAAAGATTGCTTACAGTTGATCACAGTTATGAGCAAGGACGATGTGCTTCGCAGCGATGGGCTGGTGTGTGATGATTGGGAGGCCTGCTCTGACAGATACAGGAAGTCGATTTCTAGACACACACCTGTTCTCCTCCTACTACCTGGCTCCTTATTGATGTCCACATTTTTCCATTTTGCTCTCCTGCCAGGTGGCTGTTAAAAACAATATTGATGTCTTCTACTTCAGCTGCCTCATCCCACTCAATGTGCTTTTTGTAGAAGATGGCAAAATGGGTAAGTGTGTCCTCCTGTCCTGCTAAATATACCTTTGGCCATCATCTGAATGGCAAGCATAACATAGCCCTAGAAGTACAGACCATTTTGAAATTTTTAAATGGTGTTAGGATATTCTAAAACCTCAATAAATAATTGATCATTGGTCATTTGTCAGTCGCTGTTCTTACTCTGCCATCCCCAATCCCAGAGCCAGTTAGCTGACCAACCCAGCCACCCCACACACAGGTAAAAGGACTGAGGACGGCTGTGAACTTGGTCTTTGTCGGTTATCTGTGTGTTTGTGGGCAAAATGTTTGGCCCCTGTTTTGGTTTCTACCTTTGTAAAATGAAAGTCATTTGTTTTATGAGTTAGTAACATAGTATGTAAATTTAGCACTTATTTGACCCTGAGTTCATAGTAACATAAGAATTCAGTAATTTGTAATAAATCATTAGTCTCCTTTCCTACCCCAAGGTAGCTACTGTTTTTCCCTTTCCTTTCTTAAGAAACTGCCATCCAGCCAAGTGTCGTGGTGCACCCCTTTAATCCCAGCACTCAGAGGCAGAGACAGGTGGATCTCTGAGTTTGAGGCCAGCCAGGGCTACACAGAGAAACACTGGAAAAATGAAAGGTCACAAGATGTGCCTAAAATTCCCCAAGTAGGACTACAAGGAGTCAAAACTAAACTTAAAATGCAAACTTTTTTCCAGGGTCTATTAGTTCAGTCAGTAAGGGCCTAGTATACAGCACCATTGCATATCATAAACTTTGCTCCAATCCTAGCCTGCTCCTGGCAAGCCAAAGGAAAACTGGTAGAAGCATCAGGGAATAGAATATTGATGTATCCCCTCTTCTCCCTTTCCCCATACAGAACGCCAGGTCTTCCTTGCAACATGGAAGGATATTCCCAATGAAAATGAACTTCAGTTTCAGATTAAGGAATGTCATTTAAATGCTGGTAAGTAATACTTCTTGATTGATTTCCATCTCAGTCAAATTAAAATTTTTCTTTCCTGCCCCCACTTCTTTCTGCATTTAACATGATTCTGATGGGTTTATGTTACATACATTACTTTGCAAATCTCTCTTAAATACTTGGCATGTTGTCCAGACATGGTGGCATACACCTGTAATCCAAGAACTCAGGAGGCCAAGGCAAGAGGATTGCAAATTCCAAGCCAGTCTGGGCTACATAATGCGCCCGTCTCCTTTTAAAAGCACACACACACACACACACACACACACACACACACACACACACACAATGCGTCCAGGCATGATGGTGCATGGATTAATTCTTGCACTTGAGTCAGAGGCTGGCAGATCTCGGGAGTTAAAAGGCAGCCTGGATGTCTACACAGTGAGTCCCAGGCCAGCCAGCACTATACAGTGAGTCTTTGAGTCTTTCTGTCTCTCAAAACACAAAAACAACCAAACCAAAAAAAAAAAAAAAAATCAAAATATGGGATATTATGATGTAAAGCACTGAATTAATTACAAGCTACAAGATTAATAGATTTAAAATAAAGAAACTAGCCCTAACTTATAGAAGATCCTAGGTTTGCTCTCAGCACTGCAAAATGTAGAAAAATATGAAAGAAACAAAACACGAACCATGTAACTGGCCCGTGTACTATGCTAGTCCTTCATTAGCAGAAGTGAATGTCAGTCATGTTACTTACGTGTCCTCAGCATCAGGTAACTAAAGTGGTACTCGAGGAAAGCCGCCCTCCTCAGAATGGAAAGCCTCTTTCATCTCTCGGATCAGTGTTTGGCATTGGAGAAAAGGATCTGAGAACCTGTATTTAGAATTCTATTTATAAGTAAAGCATGTATCATGGTTGATTAAAGCCTGGCTGATAACCTATAGTGTTCTCCTGTTTGTCAGGTTTCAAATAATGATAATAACCTTTTAAATCACCATTAGTCCCTAAACCCTTTTGTAGTTATTTTTGTTGCTATTGTAAAATACAAAAAGAGGTAATCCAAGAGGAGAGAGAACAGCAGCTGTCTGTCCATAGGGCTTTGTTTGACTGGAATGTTTGTTGTTCAGAATACGGGCTTTTGTAGCAGCCTTCCTTCCTTCCTGTGCAGCACCTTCCTCGCTGACCCCTCGCTTCCTCCTCTGCGCAGTGTTGGTCCTCCTTGTGGGTCTTCAGCACACTGCCATTCTCCATTGCGCTTGGAGCAGAGCATTTGAGGAAGGAGACAGACAGTATGCAGTACAGAAAGAAGAAAAAGCTCTCACTGTCTTGTCATTTCAATTTTCCGTTTTTAATTTTAGGTTTTTGGGTCTCTGTGTTGTATTTTTCTTCTGTATTCAGACAGATCTTTGTATGTAGGGCTTTTGAAATCCAAATGTTATCAGCATCTTCCTGTGCTGGCTCTCAAATGTGCTGGTCCAGGTGGGCCTCCGAGACATTTTGAATGATAAATGCCTGCTTGAGGCCTCAGACATAAAAGACAGACAGTCAGCATCCTTTGAGCGTAGACACTTCAGGTGGAGCTTGGCTATGATAAGGGTTACCTCCTTACCTCACATCTGTGCCCCTGGAGAGGGTGTGAGGAGACTCTCAGTTTTGTTTTGTGGGTTTTTAAGTTGCCAGCTGAAGTTCACTGGTGAGTTACAGTGAACCATTTCAAATTACAGAGTAATTTGGTGAGCACAGAAGCGCTTCACAGAAGGAACTGTTCTCAGGAAGTGGGAACCCTCGGCTGTAGATAGAGTCCATGGTGCTGATGGCAAAACCCAGAGAATCAGGCCCCATTGAGAATCAGCCTCTGCACTCTATGTCACAGACACAGCTCTGGGTTAACCGCCATCCCGTGGCAACTGTCCCTTAATAAGAAAAAGGTGGAGACGTTTTCCTGGAGTGATTAAGGCTGGAAAATGCAGCATGTGGCATGCCTGTGTGCGCACACACTGAGAGCTCTGAGAAGTCCTACATTAGAAAACCTCTGGTGGAAGGTCACCATTCCTTCCCTATAGAGAGTAGGTAACAGCCAGAGTAATTGGGAAGCAGTTTTAGTTTTAGGGGTCCTGTGTGTAAAGGACGTGTATTTGCACGGGGAATTTGATTAACTAAGAACTTTAGTTTGGCATGCCAAAATATTAAAAAGAAAAGAATGCCTACTGCACCAGAGCGTGGGGCCTTTTTCTCAGGGAGGCTGTTTGCTCTGATACAGTCCTCACAGCAGACTCAGTTTTAAAAACCACCATGGCCTCACATGTGTGTGTGTTCCAAATGCTATTGAACCAGTTTCCTGGTGACACATATTGTGGCAGTGGGGCACGTGGAACTTAAAGAAAACAGCCAGTTTGTCTTCTCCAGCTGCCCAAGGCCATTTCCCTTGCTAAATCACTGCTTATCTTGCAAGACCACTTTGTTCAGCTAATCCCTTCTAACTCTTCCTTGTCTCCACACTGCTGCACAGAAGGCCCTGGCCTTTCCATTTCCTCCCCATCTTGAGGACTCTATTAACAGAGTCTATGTAGGTTTGCTGCCTTCTGATTCAACACCCTGTGTCTAGCTGAGAGCTAAAAATACCATCCTTTCCAGCTGATCTTCCTAATCACAATAGCAGCAGCACTTCAAATAGACCTTCTGTGCTAGCAAAGACATTTGACAGATGGAAGGAGCACTCTGGGCTCCAGGAAGTCACAGCCTTACAGGACTCACCAACTTAGCAGTGAGATTTTCTGTCTGTTCTCTGATCTCTTTCTAGAGAAGAAAGAGACCCTCCGCAAGTCTTAATAATCAGACCTTAATAAAGATGTCTGGGGTGGTGTTGGTGATGGTATTGCTGTTTGTTGTATGTAAATACTAGAACATTTTAGGCTAAAAAGGTGCCAACGGACAAGACTCCTGTTTCCCAAGAGCAAACATTCAAACGTTTCTACAGGTGTCTTTTTCTTTAATTTGAGACAGGATCTCACTGTTTCACTGTGTAGCCCTGGCTGTCCTATATATCCAGCTGTCCTCAAACTCAGAGATCCACATGCCTCTGCCTCCTGAGTGCTGGAATTAAAGGCATGTGCCACCACCACCTAGCCATATCGTACCTTTTAGCTACATTTGAGATTATTACATATCTTGAAACACTTCCTAAGTGTACAATAGGTGGGTACATTGCCATCCATAATCTAAAAAGGGGTGCTTATAGCAAGCAGTTTTTCAAGCCTGTTGTTTACTATACTCAAGAAAGCTCAAACACCTGGTATATATCTTCACTTGTCTGGCACTGTGTAAAAAGCTATTTCTTTAGGCATGGCCACTAAGTGAGAATGAGTTAGATTTCTGTTTTATTGTGGTTCTCCTATGCTTTGGGACATTTCAAAAACGGAAACTTTCCTAGTTGGCACTTGACAATAGTTTTTTTTTTCCTCCAGATGCTTTTTCCCAGTCATTTTCAGCAGTCTTCTTCTGAAACGTCCTTTTCAGATGAGCTTTGAACTTGCTGATCAGGGCCCCAAAGGGGCCCAAGTGCAGATTTCCACCGTCCACTTTATAGTCCTTCTTTGCTCTTCTCACTGACAAAATTGTGACCTTAGCTAAAGAATAAAGCTGAGTGAGGGAAGACCACACCCACACCTTTTAAGACCCCAAACACCCAGATCCACAGAGCCAGGTCTGTTGAAGGAAGAAAAAGAACAAGAAGAAATGACATCTTGAAGCAAGTAAAATTGTATTTGACCATCACCCTTCTTTGGGACAGATCTCAGTACCTTGGCCTGAGCTAGCATCATTTTAGACACAGAAGCCTTTGACATCGTACCTCCTTCTCACCATCTCCCAGCGTCCATACTCTGGTCTGTCTGCCAGTAGTTCAAGTGTGCATGACACTGGGATAGCTTGAGGTCTGCTCCAGTGTGGCTGGAAGCTGCCTAACGTTTGCTCTCACTGCATCCTTTCCTCCTCAGGCTCCTGGGTGGAGGTTGAGGTATGCATCACCAGCATTTGCCTCCCTCAGTTGGTACACTGAGCAGAGTAAATATCTTTCAGTCTTTAAATCCTCATTCAGTGATAGGTCCTAGTCTGATATGTGCAAGGCTCTAGGTTCAGTGTGATAACACTTCAAAAAGTAAATGTAAAACTATGTGGGTGTGGTGACTTGTATCTGTAATCCCAGCACTAGGGAGGTGGGAAGCCAGTCTGATTTACACAGCCCAGGGTATATAATGAACCCCTGCCCCCAAAACAAATAGCACACACCTTTAATAATATCAATATGGTTTAAATAAGTAGAAATATAAAAGTTGGCTCGTAAGTACCCTTTTCCCATTCAGCCTTGTGATAGCAGTCACAGTACATGCAACCATTCAGCTTGAGCTGAGCCCTGTTCCTTCCCTGTCATCTGCTACACAAATGGTAAAAACACAAGAAGTCTGCAGGCATCTGGGCCTCGATACATGGATGAAATGAATGTAGGCCTATGCAACAAGACTGCTCAACAAAGGCATCTGCCTTTCTGGAAAGTAGGCAAGCACCTTGAAAGTTAGGAAAAAGCTTTTGCCAAAGCAAGTCCCTGTGTGTTAAAGACCGTCTTTTCAAAAAGCATTAGCCAAACTCCAGCTGGAAATGTTGCTTAGCAACCCATTAAGTTGCAAGAGCACTTCACTGTAGGAACCAGAGTGACAGCAAGAGCTGTCTCCCCCCCCTCACACACACAAGATGATTGCAGAGTTTATTGAGGCTCCCTCCTCCAGCGGTATTGCATAGAACTACCCTGAGATAGACTTTCTATCTGGGATAAAACCCATCCCTCCCTTTGCCTCCCTTCCCCCCTTCTTTCTTTCTTTTTTATGGATATCGGTGTTTTGCCTGCATATAAATCTGCACCACATGCATGCCTGGTGACCTCAGAGGCCAGACAGAAGAGAGCATCAGATTCCCTAGACCAGCAGTTCTCAGCATGTGGGTCATGACCCCTTTAGGAGTTGAATAACCCTTTCACAGGGGTGGCATACCATATATTCTGCATATCAGATATTTGTATTAAAATTTGTAACAGTATCAAAATTACCATTATAATTTAGCAACAAAATAAATTGTTGGATGGTGGTGGCACATGCATCCCAACACTTGGGGAGGCAGAGGCAGGCAGATCTCTGAGTTAGAGGCCAACCCTGTCTACAGAGCTGGTTCTAGGACAGCCAGGGCTACACAGAGAAACCTTGCTGTGGGAGCTTCTTTCAGTCCTTTAGCCAGTAGCCTTTAAGATACCAACCCACTCGGGAGGCAGAGGCAGGCGGATCTCTGTGAGTTC